ATTGGAAAATGTGAAAGACGATACAATTTATTGTACATACACACATAATAAAGCAAAAAACATTAATTTATTTCTAAATTTTGACCAAAAATGTTTATTTTTTACCATTTTTTTTTTACAAAACTTGAGTCTTATAAACGAATTGTTGAGTCTTATAACCAAATTTTTTATAACGTATTTGGATGCGTCCGGACCGTATCAGGCAATTTTGAGTCTAATTAGCGACTGAACCTTATTATATCCGTGAGTCTTATAAGCGGCGTCCACTGTAGAAAGAAAAATATTTAATTATGTTTAAAATCTGACTTTATGTATACTACTTGAGTATATAATGGCCAATGGTACTCGTTTACGACGGCCTGTAATTAGTGGCGTAGCCAGGGGGGAGGCTGAGAGGGCTGCAGCCCCCCCCGAAATGTTAATAAAATTTAAAAATGATTTAATGGTCTATGGTATTCGATCAAAAACTAAACCACCGCTGTGTAAAAAAATGATCAGCCCCCCTCCCCCCCGAAAAAAAAATCCTGGCTACGCCACTGCCTATAATACAATCTAAAATAGTCTAATGGCTGATAATAATATTATCACGATATAAATTATAAGAGAAGCAAAATCGAAATAAAACTACATTTATTTTTGTTTTCGTCTATAGGTGTCTAAAAATCAAGCCCCTTTAAGCTAAAGGCAACAATATTTATTTATAGGAACCTATATAGGTTTTAACGATGTTGAATTATGTTATAATAATTTGATTAATTTGATTAAATAACTTTTATCAATATAATGTTTAATATTTATGAATTATGGGTCATTTAAATAGCATTTAATATTATGTTATGTTAAAGGTCCATAGTACCCCACATTATAATACTATTTTAATTAATTCCCTATTAAAAACAAACTAATAGTATTTAATAGATCTGTGTAATAAATGTATGTTAAATGAGCAGTTAAAATATTTATCATGATTCATGATATAATTATAAATCATAAAATTAAAAAAATATTTGATATAGGTACCTCTGGTACCTATAATATGCACTTTATAATATTTATATTATTTATATCTATACGTGCATTTTACTTCTAGAACAGTCATTAATTGTTGGTAGAAATCTGAATCACAGCACGTTTGATTTTTTTCCACACGGCAATATTTAAAATTTTAACGATTAAATAATAAATACTTTAAATTCAATAATAACACAATATTTACCATTTACGGAATGTCAAAATTTAAAAACAAAGAAGGAGGTTTGTTAAAACGTATACCTATATACCTACATTTATGTATTTATTTATAATTATTAATTCTTTAAGCAGATAATACATAAAGGAGTGCCTGTTTCAAAGTAAAATCTACACGTCATGTATATGAACTCTTCGTAAACTTTAATGAACTTTAAACTGGCCATATTTTTTCATCGAAATTGCAAGGCTATTCCGTTTAAGAAAACATGATGTATGATTATCTCCGGCTTACAGACGTACAACACGTAATTTTGCGTTCAGCAGTCAGCAGGGTCCGATTTGTCTGGTTAGTTCTAACATTACAGTTCATTTACCTATTAACTATCGCTCACATTAATTAAAATTTAAAAGTAAGAATATTATTGATCTCTTGTCCGTTTTATTTTTATATTCTAATTTTAAAGTGAGTTATAACTTTTATGCATACGTACAATAATTAATATTATAGTTTAAAAATGCTCATAATTATCGTTTTAGAATATTAAAACAGCAACAAAACCTTCTAGAGAATACTATTTTTTATGACAATTGTTATAATATTGGGAGCCCGGGAATCGGGCCAAAAAGGAGTACGGTAACTGGGTCACTAAAAATTTACATTTATAAAATGTACCTACAGCAGGTAACCCGGTAACTGAGCCACCACTCAACTATTTTTTATGAACTTCCTTTATAGTAGAGCATAAGAGCTTACGGTGAGGTGTATTGTCACTAATCACTATTTAGATATCATAATAATTGTTAAAAATGACTAGGTAATAAGTATATTTTTAAAATATCCGTCATTCGGCCTTTATGTTTAAATCTAGTATTATCTAGACGAAGTTGGTAACTACTTCTTGGTGACTTTTTGAGTAATATGTCACAGTAAATATATAACATACTTTGCCGATTACATTTTGGACAATTATATTTGTGACGATGTGAGATTTCCCACACATGCGTCATAATATAGCTCATAATAGAGACTAACGATAGAACGAATAACAATATGATGCTGTCGAATCTTTTCAATGACGTTTCAAAAACAACTTCTAAATTCCACATCCGAGTATTCAAAATTTTTTAAATGTTTTATCGGAAGTACAATGAAATATTTACATTAAAATTAGAAACATAAGTACACAGAAGACCAGGAAACAAACTTTAGTCGGACACAACTGTGTTTGAAATAAAATATAGAAATACGAAAGAGGAAAACACAGATTTTGTTCAAATGTAGGTCATTACTTTAAAAAAAAAATAATATTCATTATTTCTATTATTATTAATTATAAATTGACTACATATAATTGTATAATGTATAAATATTTTTTGTATGTATTAATATTTTGGCTTTGATGAATGGTTAAATATATTTTATAGTTAGGTAATGAGTAATGACTAATGGAAAATTATACATTCGATATCATGTTATTATAATATTAATAAAATTAAAAACTGTTTATTTTAGTTCCGACGCACCTGGAGCAGCTAAGTATATGTAGCTACACGGGGGTTTTTTTTGGCAGAATATCAGTAAAACCAGTAGATGCCATGAAATAATAGAAGATCTGAACACTAAACTATTTTAAGGATCTAAAGAAAAAACATTGAGGCTTGCCGAGTACCAATTTTTAAAAGTAAACTAATTACATATAATACTACACTATGTTTAAGAATATTTTCTCCAACCATTGTTGTATAGTTAAAACATATTAGTTCGGCGAACAAATATATTTGTAAAATGAGAGAAATTTTAACCATACACACGATTCAGATGAAAAATTAGCTTCAGTTGCAGACTAACATAACGTTCGATAATCGGTTTTCGATGGTGTACACCCGAATTGGATTTGTTCCCAGTTTATTTTAAACAGAATATTCAAGAGTTGTTTTAGACATAATGGTAGCTTATCGTTTTAAACCAGCCTAGTTAGGTTCCGTTTTATGAATACAGTAAACTCGTAGACAATTATTGTCTCACGCTGTCGATCAGATTATTCTTCAATATTTTTCTTTTACATCTTACCTATAAGTAAACAAATAATATATTTGACATAAATCCCGGACTAAAGCCCTCAGAGAAAAATGTTTATTTTCTATTATATTATATGCTATGTTTGATTTGTTTATATGTCTTCCATAGTTATAATATATTGATTGTACGTTTTGTATAAATAAGACCCTACTACCCATTTCTAACAAGACATTTACCTAGTTTTAAAAGTCGGTGCATAAATACATAACTGTGAGCGATCTAAATATTAGGTAGTAAAATATAATTTCCTTTTATTAATTTGAATTCAAAATAATAACTTATCATACATAAAATAGATTTTCAACATATAAAAAGTATAGATTTTTTTTCAGAGGAGTTGAAATGTCTAGAAATGGCAGAAACATGGGGGCCAAATTTTCAGTCGGGTCGAATTTTCGATTACCAGTAAGTTGAGAAACCGCATAAAACAATCTTGGAGAAAAAATAAATTTAATTAGGTTAAATTAGTAGTTATTCGAGTTTGTGCACCGGGCACGGTCAAATGACTGCAGAACTTGATAAATATATGATATTATGATTTATGATTGGGTGGCACATATTAATATGTTCGATTCGAGGCGAAAGAGTGTACCAATAAAGTATGGAAATATAGGTGTAATCGTGCGTACAATATTAGGTATAGTAGTTATAAAATATTATCTTCAACAAATCACAGTTGGAACTATAATAATTTACCAGTAAATTTAATTAAGCGTGTATTTATATGCACTCGTTTAAATATATTCGGCGAGAACCGATAATTATCGGATATAGGTTTTATTTTACACTCTGTAATAATCGATTCGGAAACATATTAATGCTTTAATAGGTAGGTAAGTAGGAACTATAGGTATATATAATATATGTAATATATATTATCCGACAAGTCTGCGAGTGGATTATCACGACTCGCCGAGGACTGCAACAGGTGCAGTTAACGTCACCCCGAGTCCCAGCTAAATGATATTATTTTACACTGTCGGTATTTATTATTGCGTTATATATTTAATAATATTTATAAATCGAAAAAAAGGATATACCTGTATAAAAAATATTATTATAATGTGTATACTTTCTTTTTTATTCGTATAGCTATACACTGTATAGTAAACAGTCGTGTTGGACGAAACGAGTTTTGTATATTTAATCCCAGAAATTGCATTTTTTATTTCACGCGTTGCACAACTTCTATAATTTATACGTATATGATATCTATATGATAGCAATATATTATCTATACTTGTGTACAAAATACCACCTCTACTAACAGCTATTTCCGAGAGAGTGCAGAGGGACCCACTCAAAGCGAATGCGGGAAAAAAAAACCCTGAAAAAAAGTCTCTTATTAAATAATTAAGTATTAAGTAAATTATTAAGCCCTACTACATATAGTAGTATTAAGATGAGTATTGCTGCAATCTGCACTCGGCGGCATTGTTTTTACATCATAATTTTTGTTTCAGGTTTCCGAAATATTTTTTGAACACCGTCAACTTACTTCCATTCTGGAAAATACGGAATAAATTAGTTAAATAGGTACTTGGATAAATTTAAAGTTTTTGAAAACTACAAATTCTCTTGAAATATAGATAATTTGGTACATATTTTTGGTTTTTAACTCTGGTGCCACGAGAGGGCGATGCCCCATCCCACCATGGCACCATATTTAATTACTAACACACATTAGCTTCTAAAAATCCAATAATGGTCAGCAATTTTGAGATTGAGTGATTTCCTATCCATTTCTATGTATTATTATTTATTATCTACGAATAGGTATGATAACTATATAAAATATTATATATAAATCGCTCCTCCTTATTAGAGTGACCGTGTGGCATGTATGCACAATCCCCTCCTCACTCCCATTTGGAAACGAGCCTAGTTTTTTTTATGCATTTAAAATTGTCAAATAAACAAGAAATTATGAAGTCGAGGTGTAAAAAAGACCATTTATACACGACAAGTTATGTCAAACAATTCTAAACGCACCTCATCCCCTCTTCCAGGCCTGCATGGCATATATTATGTTTCATGATTTCCGTTGTATACTCACACATTTATCATTATTATTATTATTATTATTAAAATTGTACATTATACGTTTTTTTTTTTGAAATTTTGCCCAAAAATCGACCCATGGTCGGGGTCGTGGTGGGGATACAGGGTTGGGATTCTAAATGTGTCGGATACTCTCGTCGCACCAGTGTTGATCGGCAACATCCTGATAAAAGCCAAAAGCCGTTTTAGTACAATAATATATATTACATAAGACAGACGGCCGCGTGTCGGCGACGGCGCGGCGCCTCATCGTCGTCGTCGTCGTCACTGTACTTAGTTGTACGACAGTAATCACAGTACAATACTATAATACTACATTTAAACAGATAAACTTTATAAATATAACAAGTCTTATGACGTAAGATCTTAATCTAATAATCGTGTACAAATAACGAACTATTAATTACAACAATTTATTATCATATTATTGTTATTATTATTATTATATTCGCATTACATATTATTATATTACAATATATATTGTACTACGGGTGGTCGCGCATCATCATCATGGATCAAGACGAACAGTGTCTGGCACCGCAGCTGTGCCTCCGTTGCCTGTCGTATGACCGCGACCGACATATCGCGGTCGTGTCCAACGCGGACGCGTGCACGTGCCCCGACGACGAGACGTGTCCTCACAACAAGAAGACCGCCGCTCTGCAGCTGTTGGTCCTCAGGAAAAAAAAGTTTGTTCCGCTTGTCTGAATGTAGATAATAGTGTAATCGTTTTACAACACTTTTTTCTCATACTATTCGTGTTTGATTTGACTTGATTTTCTTACGGACAAAATAAGTGAAGAACACTGCTGCAGGGCCTCATTTGAGGGGGAACAGGGGAGATCTATTTAGTACATATATTTAAAAATTTACAATAATACAGAATAATATTAAAATATCTTTAGTAACCTCAGTACCTAAGTACTTTTCCTAGCGGTTACTATTCCCATTAAATTTTTTTTATGTTTGTTATAAATGTTATAACTTTTAAGGCACTGAATCTGAAAGTGTTTGAAAAAAATCCACTCTTTTTTTACATTAAAAATTATACTAAAAACTGGAAAAAATGGGCTTTCAAAAATTGTTGTTGCGTCAATAAAAATATCAATAATAACATAATTTATGTAGATGTATTGTTTTGATCTGTTTTTTAGAAGTCGTAGATATGTATATTGTTTTACACTGAATATGATGGAACATTCATATTTTTGTCACCAGAACTTACATACTACATTTGAGGGGAGGGATTTTAATTATTCTTATAAATAAATAATTAAAAAAACTTAAATCAAAAAAACAGGAAAAAATTTTATTAGTTATAATTTTTATTGACAATACAATCAATATTCCTACGATCCAAATTACTTTTCTTTTATATGTTTAAATGTTTGCTCCTGAATATAATAATATTATATACATTTATATTATCGTCTTTCGTCCATAATATGTTTTTTTCTTATTCTTGCAATTTCATCCCTCATCCCTCATCATGATAAAAAAACATGTAGACTGTACGTATGTTTTCACGAAATTGCCAGCCCACGCTCTAGTTAAGGGAGACGCCAAAAATTTGAGAGAATTTGCCAGTCGGCTCTATCAGACCATCCGAAAAACTGACTTCGTGTATGGTGTACCCCCATATTAGATTTAAAAAAACGTGTCGACACATACTGTAAAATATGTATACATAATACAATATAATACAAGATATGAATGAAAAAATGTAACTTTACTAATCATAGTTCGTTGAAAAACTGGCACCTGCAGACTTATACAATTTAAAAGTAAGAACTTAATCTGGGTTTAGCTGTTCTCTTGTCAGTTTTTTTAAATTGAGTTATAAAGCAGTTACGTGCGTGTAAAATTTTAAAATTTTAAAATGCTTATATCTCGTTTTGAAATTAAATTTACGAAAAATATCTGACAAAAGAACACGGATAACATTCGTATCTTTAATGTTGATAATATAGGTAAATTTACTATAACATTAAAAACTAACAACAAAATGTGGTGGTTAAGACGGAGACAATACAGCATAATATTATTATGAGGCATTGTGTGGGCACCAATTAAGCTTAGGTGAATTGTGGATTAATCAAATCATTGTTTTTTGAATTGTTAACATTCCCAAAGAGGCAAAGAACCAATTTTAAAAACCTAGTTTATTTGCTCGCATATTCTGCAATAATATTGTCCTGTACTCTGTAGTATAACTACATATAAAGACAAACTTTCAAACGATTTCATCCTTTATTTTTAAATCGTCAAACAAAGGTTTTCGGGTTTTCAATTTTTTTTTAAATATAATTTGTACCTACAATAATATTTTAGAACTCATCATGTCCTATATGTTTATAACTATATTATAATACATTGAGTAGGTTTATAATATATATATATTCTATATACGTTATAGGTAGTCTTATAATATTACAGTGGAGTATATTGGCTAAAGCAAATGTGGCACATTCACCACCAATCAACGAAGTGTATATTATTTTTTATTTGATTTAATGATAATTAAAAAATAACCACTACACATCGCCCACACCTTAAATACACCACTGAACTTCAATAACTATACTACTACTGATCAACGTCCATATATATAATATACATGTATATTAATATATAATTATATCTATATGCATACAATTAACTAGATAATTGTTTTTCGTTATTTTTTTAACCAACGTGAGTTTCCTAAACCCATATTGCTGCAGGATAAGTTTGCAGCATCAGCAGACGTTATCGACGACGAACAACGAATCAAACAAGACCATTGGCTGTGGTGTGCAGGAATCGGACGGAGACGATGACGACGACTGCTCCTCTTCGTCGTCGTCGTCGTCGTCGTCGTCATCATCAAGTAGCACTTCGTCCTGCTCGTCCTGCAGCAGTGGCGACACCACTATGTCAGAATCCGAAGATGATAGGTCACAGATTATCGGCATGTCTGCGGATTCGTCGCAATAACATAGTTTTTTTTGTAATAGTTAAGTTTCGTTTCAAAAATATCATTTAATTTTTTTATCGTAATTATAAGTATAAAATATAGTAAAAAACATACTATATGCATAATAAACGGTGGTGCGTAGTGCGGACGAGCACAATAGCACATACCGTGCATAATGCATATACATACATCGCATTGTAAGGCTAGTTATAATAGTTTAAAGTTTATTTTTTCTTTCCAGATTTGCTTCTCTTCTTGCGGTTGTTGCTGCTGCTATTGCTACTGCTACTTTTACTGCCACCACTACTGCTGCTGCTACTGCTGCTGCTGCTGCTACTACTGCTACTGCTGCCACTATCAGTGTCGCTATCGTCACTGCTGCTGCTACTGCTGCTGCTGCTGCTACTACTGCTACTGCTGCCACTATCAGTGTCGCTATCGTCACTGCTGCTGCTACTGCTGCTGTCGCTGCTCGAAGAACCGTCACTGTCGCTTCCTGAGTCGGAAGAGTTTACATTTTTCTTTTTCCATTTGGCGTCTTTCAGTTTTTTCTTTGATTTCTCGTCTTTTGAGGACCTTCAAATAATGTCGTTATTCGATTAGACAATACATACAAAGAATCAGTCTTAAACAGACTAAGAATAGGCCACCCAAAGCTATGGTTTCTTAATGGCCAAAGAAGCCTCTCCAATATGTACCGCATGTGAAACCAAAATTACTATTAAGCATATTCTAATAAATCGTCTCAAATATGAAAACACAAGAAAAGAATGCAATTTACCAGACACCTCGTTGAAATCCTATGAACTCAAGCAGAATTGAACAACATTTTTTTTTTTTAAATCAGATTTATTCAAACTAATTTAGAAATATAATAAAGAAAAAATGTGTAATTAAAAAAAAATTAAACACACTTTACTCTAATAAGTAATAACCATTGTTGTTGAAGCAAAACGATGAATATAAAATAAAAAAATAAAAATAAAATACATACATATACCGCCATTGTCTAGGGGAAGATGAAGCCCTCCCCGAAATCTTACGAAAATTTAAAGATAAGCACATTTTAATTGTTCTGTAAACGTATTAAATAAACGTAATCATGTATAAAAATCATAACTTGTATAAATATTAAGAGTCTAAAATATATTATACGCCAATATCCATTACGGCATCAGCATATCAAACTTATGAGGACGTGAGGAATCCTAGTTAAGTGTATCCTAAATAACAAATTATCAGCCCCCCCCTCCAGAACGAAATCCTGACTACGCCCCATGATTTATCGATTGTTATTTGTTCGAAAATCAAAAACCACCACGATATTTGAATACGAATAAAATCACAAACGGTTTCTTCAATAAAATATACATCAGAACCATATCATATCGATACATAATTATAAAATTGTGTTAAACCACGTACTTGGATAAGAACTGATTGGCGGGCCTGTCCTTGTTCAAATTCCTTTTGAGTAACGTCGTGCGAGTAGGGCGGTCGGCAAATTTTCTCTTTCCTTTGCACTCGTAAGTCCAATGACCGAATTCCAGGCACTTTTGGCAGCGGACACCTTGGGGAGGTACATAGGTTCTACAAAGACGCGAAAATAAATTTGATTAATATTTATGTACAGCTGTCACAATGAATTTCAACGCAGTGTAGTTGTAGACAATATTATGCTGTAATATAACGGTAGGTATGCTTACGGTTTTTTTTTCGCAATATGAAGTGGTGCCATTATCCAATACGGAATATGGTGTTTAATCGATAAACGCGGTTAAACTCGAAAAATCTGCGAACAAACACATTTTCTTTTATAATTACATATTTTGAATACAACATAATAATTGTGTACATATACCTATATGCCGTGAGTCAACATTCGTTTTCGAAATGACGATAACGGCACCAAAAGGTTTACCTAGTGAAAATAGATACCTAACCTATACGTTTTGGTAAATATATACATTAAGCACAGCGCCACATTTAAATTCTGTGCAAGTACAATGAGTGTGAAGAGTTTTCCTTCGGTAGTTTTTGACAGAAACTCATCGGTGTGTTTTTAGAAAAAATGACAAATGTTAAATAATCTAACAGCAAACAACAACTGCAATAATAATATAGATTAAACTATTATGATTGACTCGTAACCAAAGACATGAAACACAAAAAAACCGTATATAAGAATCCCAAAGGGGACAACTACCCCCCTAATTAACCACCGCTTTAGCTAGAGCTATACACCTACAGTATACCTATCGTTATAGTTTTCGACATTTACTACACTTCATTCTTTCTTAAATATAATATTGAACAACTGCAATGTATTTTAATTGTTTGCATTATTAAACAGATTGTTTATAATTTCTGTCTATGCACCTGTCTAGGTAGTAGGTACAACAGGTAGTACATCCAGTTAATATGAATTATCAATCCGCATGGTTAAGAACGCGTATAACGATAACAGCGGTCCTCCACACGGAATCCTGTACAGTAATTATTATTATGATGATAAAGTAAATTCCGGGCATTTCGTTGACCGCAAAATTCTTCGTGGAAACTACTCATTCTAAACGTTTTCATCGCATACCTACGTCATAGTACGTGCATAGACATATCAACATTGCGGATAATCATATTCTGACCTAACTCCGCGGGGTCAGACGACAATAATAATATACGCTTTATAAAATATAATAATGTAGGTATACACAAAAAAAATGTACAACTGACTGTATACAATTAACAAATTAGATTATATTGTATATTACAGTGAACATACACATATTATTTTATATTATTATGATGTCTGCTGTTTGAGTGGAGACAATTTTGTTGTTTCTGGTTTATTCATATATATGTTATGCTAGGTCTATGAATAACGAATCTATAAAAGGTACCTAATATTGACAGAAAAATCACAGATTAAAATTATAACGTTTGTACCTGAAGGCTGAAGCTCTAGTCATAATATATCTATTATAAATCATAATAATATATTACCGAAATTCCGTAACGCTAGGTAGTTAAAACAGTTCTAATTTTTATAACAATTTCACAACTATCAAAAAATCAAAACATTTTTCTTCTTGAAATAACCCTTGTTGTATGCGGCAACATACATTTAGATCAATGAAGTAAATAAGCTGAGTCAACAAAATGTTAAATACATTTTAGACAACCAAACGGGGAGATATTCAGGGAGCCTCTCCGAAATCGTGGTACGGGCATGCACTACGTTAGGAAGACCTATTATTATATTTAATGTGTGCTTTATAATACAGTTCATTTTCATTGTTGTTCACACTTTCATAACACCAATTTTTAAATTAAGTAAACATTGATCAATTACGGCTGGTTAAGTTTCGGATTCATCTTGAAATTAGGTAATGATTACATTAGCAAATGAATAGCAAATTTAAATAAATAATGAAATATTATAGAAATTTGAGTTTTGACCATTTATTGGGTTGATTTGGTCTAAAATTGCAAAAAAACTAATTATAGGTACAAGTTAAAAATAAAAATTTAAGTGATGTTTAACTTAAAACTTGACTTAAATTTGTCTATATTGATGAGTTAAAAAAAATTAGTTTACCAGTTCAGTCGCGTGTAGGTGTTTAAGATTAAAAATCCATCTAAACTACGAACGCCACTTGACCGATTTTTTCATCTTACCGGCTATACCTACTTATAAAGTTATGACGGTTAACAGGTAAGTATAAAATACTACACTACACAGCAGTACTTATCCGTTCAAATACCAGAAAACAGACCTTTAATTTTTCAAATAATATGTTTGCTTAATATGGTCGTGGAAATTCATAGTATACCAAGTAGTAAGCCAATTTACATTATCAATTAAGATTAAAATTGTATGTAAGTAGTTAGAACATAAATACATATTTGGAAAGTCTTTATGCTCCATGGGCGGACTATAGTAGACCAACATTTTGCGGGGACGTAGGGCCCTTGTACCACTTCACTCATTAAAATCTTAAATACATAACTCATAAATATATTAATAATACCTAGACACCTAGTTAAATACATTGCATTCGTGTACAAGCTGCTCCTACGAGTCTTGTAATAATCTCCAATACAATAAAAGCTACACTGGAAAGAAATTTGAGACAAAATGCAATTTTTAGAAAATCAAATTCCGAATTATTAAAGATATAATTTTAAGGTAAATCCTACACTAATATCTACCTAAGCAAGTTTTCAAAAAATGTTAATAATGAAATATTATAGAAATTCCAGTTTTAACCATTTAGCTGACCCTCGGTTGCATAACAAATTAGTCAAAACCTGCATTTTTTTCTACTTTCACATATTATAATGAGTTTTTTTTAAATCAACGGTGTGTAGGTATACATATTTTCATTTCTCAAAACAAAAGACTATTATTTTCGTTATTTGGTTGACTAATTGTTTACAAAAACAAATCTCATGCTTGATATTACAATAACTGATATCAAGTTATAAATCAATACCGACACGCTTACCGTTGAAAGGTACATTCGTGTTTTTATAATTGTAGAAATATCAAATAGCTTAAAATCAATCTAAATATTTTGAAAATGTCATCGTAGTAAATAATAATACTATTATACACATAGTAACAAAAAATTTAGGTCCCGCCAAATAGTATTAATTGATTTAAAACCAAATACCCAACTAAAATCGTTATTTTTTCAATAAATATTTAATATGACAAATTATTGAACTTGAAAGGTCTATAGAAAAAAAAACGTTTGATTGCATTTTTGAGATTTTTAGGTTGCTGTAAGTAAAACCCTTAAAGAAACCTATTGTATTAAATGTCCAATCATCAATATTAGCTATATGTATCAGAAATTAAAAATTTCGTAATTTTGTCAACAATTTTACTTGACACATTTCAAAAAAAATGTTAAAATTATATTTTGGTTGCTACCATAATTATAATACTATTCTACTAATTTAATGTCCAATACCTATTTAGAGGGGGAGGGGCAGGAACTTTTTCTGGTCGAGTCAACGCCCGAATTTACATTTTACATTAAAAAGGGATAGAAAAATAGGTAGACACCTAACAAATATTGTGCATTATTAAAATGCATATTATAACTTCTATAACTATAATTTTTAGTTAGTTCTAACCGTTCTAGTGTTCTTCTAGTAGTTGGTTGGTATTCTCTTATAAGTTATAACAATAATATGTGATAAAAATATAAAATGTTATTATAATTAATATTAGGTAAGTAATATTACAGGCAAAAATTAGCTAAATCTAACAAATAAAACTTAATGTATTAAAATAAATTACTAATAGAATTATAAGTATAGTATGCGGAAATAATAGAAAAAGAGCCTAACATACAGTCTGCAATGTTCAGAATCGTTATTTGTGTGCAATAATTAATCATGGTATACATTAGAAGACAACTAAGACTTAACCAATAATAAGGTACATTTGAAAGAAGTAACTTGCCCAATTATTAAAATTGAATTTAGCTGTATGCCTGTATATGATAAATTGTATTATATTCATCATAATCTAAAATCTATACCACTATATTTAATACGTTGTGTAAGAACTTAACATAAATGTCCTATTTTTTATTTACTTACACCAATAACACTAGCACTACTGTACTAAATTAACACTTAAATATATAGAAAAAAAATACTGGTATTATATATTATAATATACATAAATTATAAATGATGTATAAATTTATAATTTATGTATAAATGATAAATGTTAGTTTTACCTGACAATTTTTATAATTATTATTAAGGGAAACAAAATACACAGACAGTGAAAAATAAAATGATAAACTATGTTACATACATCATAAATGTATGAACTTAAATGTATTTACAACTCAATTTGATATTTTTGATATTTATTAATTATGTTCAGTATAGATTTCTTATCGTCAATAACCCTGGTAAAATATGATCTTAAAAATTAAATTACTGCCACAATCATTTATTCAGTTAATGCACATAAAAATAAAGTTAGTACCTATTAAGTATATACAATATTTTGTTCATTTTTATTTTAAATATATAACTGTCTTTTCATTATTATTTGCTGAACCACTTGAAACATATGTATCTCTAATACACAAATTACATCAATATAAAACGATACTAAAATAGCATAATGCTCTATGAATACCTACAGCTATCGTTTATATATTTTTGTTTATCTTTATTTTCTGATAAATAATATAATAAATAAAACATCCCTTTAACATATTATGTAGATATTATATAAATAAATACAAAATAAAATTATTAATATAATAGTATAGGTAGTTCATGGTATCACACACAAAACACAGTAAACTTAGCTGGAAACATGTCTTATAAGTTGAATGAAAATTAATATTTTGTTTAAATTGTCCAAATATTAAATTAAATCATTACAAAGTTATGATATTTATACTTAAATTCAATAAGTAATAAATATGTAATTTAATAATATTTTATTTGTCTTTAAATATATGTTGACAAATTAAAGATAAAAATTGAATACAAGAATTATAACTAAATGTTAATTATTGCTTATTTATAAAACCATTATAATACAATATTATACATATCATTGTTTTATGATATTAAAATAGAGGGTTTGAATCATCTGTATCTAAAATATCAAAACCACTTAATACTAATTCAATAGCAGTTTCCAAGCTACCACCTCCTAGTCGCAATCCTTGAAGGTTTAAAGGTTCATTGTACAGACCCATTTCTCTCATTATTCCTAATTGATGTGTATAATCAACTGCTGGCGTAGTCGGTTGACTTTGTGTGGTATTTGGAGTCACAAGCACATTTCCTGTATTTGCAGTTGATGTACTTGCACCACTAGTGCTTGGCTGTGGTTGTTGAGTCGTTACATTTGCTATAGCTGTTGCCAACTGTGCGGCAGTGATGGCATAAGGTAAGTTTCTATTCAATGGTTGATTGTTAGTGTCCGATCCAGGGGATGAATCATCTAGATCTTCCATTTCATCATCACTGCCAGCAGACATAGATCTGGCCAACACATCTGATGCCAAGTGGTTCTAACACATAATGAAAAAACGTCCACATTAGTATAAATAAAAGCAGGCATTAAAGATGTTCAATAAAGTTACCTGCAAAGCTCTCTCATGAACAACTGCAGTCAATTGAAATGCAGCCATTGCCAAACCTTTATGATTGTCCGCAAGGCGTTTCACCGCATCAATATCATTGAGTTTGACTAAAAGCTCAGGATGTTGAAGAAGAGTAATTCCTACAGGATCTTCTCTTAGTTCAGGAATATGCAAGATTATCTCATTTATCAGTTTTGTCTTGCTAATTTTCATCAATGCACATTTGTATGAACAATTCAATGAGAGTGAACGTAAAGCTACACCCACTTTCACGAGTCCTGGACCATCCCATTCCCCACATTTTGGAAATTCTCTAGTATCGATCTTCATTTTTTTGAATAAATGCACAGTAGCTCCGTTCATAACATCGTACATATAAATAGGAGAATGGTCTTCCATAATATTTCCACAATAAACCAATATAAAATTATCTTTCTTCAGAGTGTCATCCTTTTCATACATTTTGTTTCTCAATATGCTGACGGGCGATTGCAGATCTATGTACACCGAAAAAGTGTGCATAGTCATAGTACCCAAACATAACTTTATGTTAATCAAGGAAATCTCTGACTCTTCACTTATCATGTTTCCAGCTAAGATACCACAGACAACACAGTAGGGTACAACCGACGATGACGCCGAATGTATTTTACAAATGTGAACCTAGTATAGTTTAATTTCGTGTGTAATATCAACATTTAAAGATATATTATATACCTTAGTATAATAGATACGTACCTTATTATTGGTGGCTTATAACTACGGAGAATATCTTACAAAAAACCGTTGAGCTTAATATGTAATCGATTTTAATGAAGAAACAGAAAGATTGAACAAATAATAACTGTAAACTCGATAGGTGAAAAAAAAATACTTATGTATATTTTGTAAAATTTCAAATAAATGAAATTATTTGGAAATATAATAATAAATGCTTTATATCACCGAACACAGAAGTTAAAACATAAGACACCGTTTCTGATAGGAGTTATTAGTATTTTAATAATAATAATAAATAATAATGAATAATGATACGCACATTTTATTATTTCAACAACGTTTGTTCATTTCGTTGGCCCATCGTTCGTTTTATCTTGCGGTATAAGGTATAAGGTTAACTCCCTCCCGACATCAACCTTACCATCAGTGGGACACTGGGACCAAAGAGCTTCTACAAAGCGTATTTTTTATCATAACCACGATGTAGTCACTACCACCACGGTCGTGAACTGGGTCTGTCTATACCACAGATATATAAAAATGATAAAATATACAAATGATTTAAATTAACAGTACAAAACTGTAAACAGTATTAATTAATTTAAATATATATACCTATATAGTGTAATTAAAATTGTCTTTCGATAAAAATGTTGGTCAATTGTACTTACTAAAAAAAAAATATAAATAATAATATCAGGATAAAACGCTCGTGATATTGAAGAAAGTGCAGTTGCACATGTTCTTTCAATATTATCCTTTAACATAGATGACACAATCTTAATATTAGAAAATCCATTATTCACCAAACGGGAAATTTCTTTTAATATTTAACTATCAATAGGTAGATCTAAAAGAGATGTTCCTATAGCATGATTGTGTACGGAAGGAAGTGACAGAGGTATTAAATATTTTTCTTTAGCATTTATTTGTAAATTTTCTAATTTTAACTCGTTTTTAGACTTTTTTATCATCTGTAAATTACAAAGTTATATTTACCTGTGTTTTATACTTTTATCATTTAAACTAATATTAAAATAATTTTTAAATAGGCTAAATTCTTTAAATTAGTAAACTATTTTGGGTTTTCATGTACCTGTTTTATAGATCTCCAATTAGTTGATGAGCTTCCTTGAATAGTGTAATCAGGGAAATATAAAAATTTCACAGCTACCATAGTTGCTGGACAGTTATTTTTTTGTGCTTTTAAGAGAAAATCTTTTTTTAACACAAGTAGGATGATCATTCAATAAATGTCAAAAAAGTTAAAAAAATAAAATATGTAAGTAAGTTATTTGATTTTAGAAATGTATGGAAATGGTGTTATTACATGTGTTTTTTTGTTTTTGATAGAATTAAAAAAAAAATAATTCTTATCTTATATACGTATTTAATTAATTAACTAATTTTTTTTTTAATTATTTGTAAATATCGTTTATATTTTATTTTTCAGAAAATACATAAAATCCATAAAATCTTTCGGAAGTGAAGTTAATTTGTTTTCTAATACAAAGATAAAGATTTATTTATTTTTTTAATTTTAATTATTTATTTTTAAATAAATATTTTTGCTAAATTTAAGTTTTTTAGATGCAGTCCCCGTCACCATCGACGCCTGGACAGAGCGACACCCTGTCGGAACTGCTTCTCACGCTCAGCCTCCTCTTTCTTAGACATCACGTCCATCCCGAATTTGGCCACCACCTCCCAATTTACCGGACTCTCTAGCATCCTGGAGACCAGTCCGCCTGGATCGAAGGGACCAATCGCCTCGACGAAAAAATGACTCCCGAAAAAAATTCCAATTGAAAATTTGCAAATTATTTTGTAGTTAAAAATGTATTAAATGTTCAATTTGTATAACTAATAAGTATTGAAAATAACCGTTCGAAGCAAATAATTCATACTGTGAACAAAAAATTTGATAAATGTATAAACACAGTTTTTATTTATAGACATTTTATATTCAAATTTGGACGAAATTAGAATATATCTAATCAGAAAATAATGATTTGGAACAGTTGGTATTAGCTAGTTTTTTAAAAATATTGTTTATGATAAGCACTTGAATTATTATATTTTATACACGCAATGTCATTTTAAAATGCAATTTTTTCGGAATAAAAGAATTTAACCTACTGTAGTTCTAATGTCTAATAATTAAATAAATTACTTTAATCGCAATACCATAATATACCTATACTTCGCAATATTTTAGGCTGACAGCTTCGCTCAGAATCATTTTTTCGCATATCTACCGGCTACCATGTTCTTATATTTTTGAATCCATTGAATTTAACACATTCAATACAGTAACTTCTCTAACCTAACATACAATAAAGCTTTACTCACACGGCCCCTTTTATTTATTATCACACAATATGTGAAGACACATATTATTTGTGTAAGTACTAAGTAGTATATTTCTATGATATAATTAGGTATTTTAGGGAAGGATTATTATAATTAGTCGGCAATGAAAGAAAAACATATTTTTTATACTTTTTGAGTAGAATATTATATTGTACATTATGCATACCAGTGGTAGTAACTGCAATTATATCACAGAACAATATGTTAATGTCCTATATTTTTTTTTATTCATTTACAATGATAACACATAAAGTGCATATAAATTTATTCTGTTTTGGGCTTTGCATAGTCGTGGTGATCGGCATTTGTGTAGTCGTAGTGTAGGGCATGATGGTAGTTGTCGTTGGCGGCCAGGGTGTCGATACATTCGTAGATTCGGCTGTGAAATGCAGCCACACTGCAGTCATATTTGTCGTACTCTGGTGCCTTGTATGTGGAATTTCAGTTCTGTTTTGTTCACACAAACATCACAATATAATTTTTTTACACATAATATTCTATAGATATTGTCGAAATATTATATAAACTATACCATGATGATATATACGCTTTGATCTTATCAAGTAAGCCCAAGTAACTTGGATATTAATACATCATAATTTATTCTCCAAGACAAATGAATTACTTATTAGTAATTATACTACTTTTAGGTTATTTTTTCCTGCCGCAGTAAACCAGTAACTACTGCGTAACCCTTGCGGGTGTCACATGAACATCGATGGTCACTACCCTGAGAGTGATATCAAAACAATTTTTTTTAATTTGTTCACAAAAGAAGGACTTGGATTATAATATAATCCTAATAATTGCATGTACTCAATGGATAATTTTATAAAAATTATCATGATTTATTGACCAACAATAAAATAATTATTTTGGAGATATTACAAAGTACAAACAATCCTTATAAATGCAGGCAAAGACCATGAAAAAGTAAATAAAAAGTTTATACAGCCAACTGGAATTCAGGGGCGGCTCCAGGGGGGGCCTAGGGGCCGCCCCCCCAAGCCCGTATTTATAAAAAAATTATATTGTTAACAAAAAATGCATATTATAATATTGTCATAATATGGACTATAATAAGCCATAGAGCCTACGACGGTGTATACGATGTACCCGCTGGTTGCTATCTATTCTTACGAAGAACCAATAAGGCTATAAATAAACTATATTAATATAAAATATACTATGGTATGATACTATGATATTATTATTTTATTATGTTCAAAACATGAATGTTGAATTATTGCGTAGCACATATTTCTGTATGGATAAAATAAATATTCTAGATCAAATAGATAATATTATTGATATTTTCGCAAATTTAAAAAATAGACGTCTTGAATTTGTGTTGTAAAAATTGTTGTTTTCTTTTTGTTATAAGATTTTGTGAAATTATAACTTGCCCCCCCCCCCTAACCTTGGCTCTGGAGCCGCCCCTGCTGGGATTTTACACATTTTTCGATGTCACCATTATTCAATATTTAGATTATTAGAACAGTAGTTTTTTTAAAAAGAAATTATGTTTTTATTATTTTTTATGAGAACGTCAATTAGCTGTACGAGACGTGAATACTGGTTTAAAAACTTAATGTAAGTACAAATGGAGTATGGACAATATAAATAATAATAGAGGATTATAATATTATATAATATATATATTTTTCATTTAATGAAAGACATTTATATTTTGGCATTTTAATATTTTAATGCGATGGACTGGAGATAAAATAAAATTAAAAGTGTAAATACGGCTGTCGATGTAAGACTGTTTCACAGTTACAAAGAAGAAATGTCGTATCGTTTAAGATACAATTTATGCTATAATGCATTGTATGTACAATGTACATATATTGTACAAATATGTACCTATAGAACAATTTTTTTTTTTTTTTTTAAATAGCGTTTATTGAAAAATTTACAATCTATACAAGTTATGTACAATGAGTAAATTGGAGGGAGGAATGACAATGATGGGGCAGTGAAGGGAAGCTCACAGTTGAGCTACCTTTTAATGAGTCTTAAATCTAGTTGATTAAATGTAAAAGTATTTTAGATAAGGTCTCTGGACCAATTTCTGTTGAGTCGACGGGTGGGGTTGCCGGGAAGATGTTTTGAGCGAAGATTGGATATTAATTTGTTTGGGTGGCCAAGCATTTTGCAGTGAAGTCTTGAGTAGAATGTAATTGCTGTTTGGTTGATGGATTGAACTTTGAGATCTTGATGTAAAGAGGCATTTGTAACAATTTTATCTTCTTTATCCATCATTATTTAACGATGTACATTGTACGCATATCGACATATCTATATTTTATACCTTATTTTTGGTTTAGATTTGACACGCGCATGTCATTTTTCCGGTTTATGCAAGGTTGACTTGCTTGGGACTTACAAAATCGTTCCGTTTCCGCGTTATGAAGGTTCCGTTTTATTGAGATTGAGCGTCTATATAAAACTATAGGAACGTGCCGGGACCATAGAAAAATTCCGTATTGGATGGTTTTCCGTATTATTCAGGGTCCGCTTTAGACAGTTTTCACTGTATAAAAATGGATCCAAATATGTATAAAAATTCATCAATTGAGAACGGCTGGGTTGATTTTCTTCAAATTTTTTTTTAATTGTTCGTAATTGCCAGTTTTTACGAAAAAAACGCTTTTTTTAAAAAAATTTTTCGATGATTTATTTTTTGAATTCCGGAATGTTTTTTCGAATTAAAAAAGCAACAGCAAGCTTTAGCTTATACAATTGCATATGACATAATTAATCGTTAAAATGGGGCCCCCGGCCAACACCAAAAAAATGGATCAACACGGAGAAATACGTTTATTGAAATTAAATGATAATTTTAAATTATTTTAATATTGAATATTAGGTATTAACTATTGATATTATGTTTCACTATATATTATAAAATAAAGCTTAAATTTTGTAAAGTGATAATTTTCGCATCGTTTTTATTCCGTTCGATTTTATTTATAGCCGTCATATTCTCTTTACATAGAACGCAATAGTCGATAGTAAAGATAACATTTAGGTTTTATCTATATGAAATATGGTTATTCGATTATTACAACTTCGTTTTCCATTTTCTGTAAAAATTTTTTTTTTACTAATCTATCAAGACACAATCTTGGATGGTTTAGATTCACAATTGGACCCGATAGGTCCGACCCGGGGAGTTGCTCAAACGGAGATTTTAAGATTTACGAAGAAAATATTTGTTTATATGCAGACATACGGTTGGTATTGGTTATAGGAGAAATATAAATATATTTAGTAGAAATGGTTATTTTTGTTGTTTATTTGTTGCCTGCAGTGGTTTATCGGGCAGATCAGGTATAAGCATGCATACAATTGAATTTTCGCACATTGCCTACCAAGGTGGCTGAGTTGCACTTTAGCCGCTCATCGGCGTGTCCGCAATCAAAATAAATATAAAACATATTATTTCAATAATACAAAAACAGGTAGGCATAATATACTGCTCGCATTATCACCATCGAGTCTCATATAGAGTTGACATTTTTAACGGGCAACAGAGTGCACGGGATCAGTTAGTAACTTATAATTATGTTCACGCATATTTTTTTTTCATAATTTATAGTTATTTTAACACGTGTATTATTAATAATTTTCAAGAGAAATTACGAAAAATTATTATTTGTACATAATACACATCATTTTGAAAGCGACCAATTTCATACGACTAGACTGTTCTTAATTTTTTATTGTTATCTATCGTTTCTAAGTAAATTTTTCTTTTGATTGACAACGCATACATTTTTAAACTCATATTCTGAAGCAGAATATTATTTAGAGTATTTTTATCTATAAAAACCAAATTTCGAACAACTAGGTATAATATTTAGTCCAAAATTCGATTTTTATATAATATCAAAGTGCTCCAGAAAATATTCTGCTTTCAACTTTTTAACTAAGAAATAAAAATGAATATTTTTATCAATAAACAATAATTGAAAAAATTAAAAATGGCGAAATGTTTTTTAACGACTTAAAATGAAGTAAAATAATATTTTCAAAAACATAAATAGTTTTTGAAATAATAAATGTCTTTCGTTAAATAGATCAACTGGTACCTATATCGATATTATACTAATAATGAGAAAAAATAAGTTCTATCGGCACAAGACACTCCTTAAATGGTACAAGAAATCTAAGTAGGTATTTTAATTTTCAAATATGATCAATATTATAAGTAGGTATAGACTAAGTAGGTACCTATAGAAATACATTTACTTCAAAATTTGTATTTAAATAAATTATACCAAAGGAAAAAATGGTAGTGAGCATACTTGGTGAATCGTCCTGTTTACGTGAATAAACATTAACATAAATATAATATACACGAACGCAAATTATAAAATATATCGTATTAATATTATTATGCGTATTATACACGGAAAAAAATTTTGTTCACTCACGTGACTAAATCGCTGAACGAGTTAGTGGTAAGTTCTTCCCCGAAAGATTGCTTTGTCCTCATCGACATGGCTTTAATTTTACTTTTCGCAGAAGTCAAAGCTTCTAACAATGATTGCAACTGATCGTATGCGAGGTCCACCTGTTTAGACCAATTATTGTAATCGTAGTTCTTTGTCTTATCATCGTTAATTACACCGATAATAACAGGTGGCGTATCCGAAGCCGTGGCCGAAATATTTTCCTCAATTTTCTGGTCGAGAGTTTTCAGCTGTCTGGGTTCACCAACTATATACGGTCTAATAATTTTGAATATTGAACAAATTAAAATAAATATCGACATTTTTCGTATTTACATGGGTAGGCGAGTGACTGATAAAAAAACGACGTCTCCACTTACAGGATGTTGTTATAAGAATAAGAGGCATAATATGGTTTGATGGTCGTGTGTGAATTCAACCTGTATTGGTCCAGCACTACTGCCGTGCTCATGTGTGGTGCAGTCGACGCTGGACTGCATCTGAGTACCACGTACAACGCACAGATCTAAAAGGAATTTTTACAATAAAAAATACTGCTAACAAGAGCGAAGAAGTGGGTGAACAGTAAGTCAAGTGCCTATATATTTAGAGAGTTATTTAGATTAATTACAATACTGTGGTACTATATATATTATATTATTATATGAATATTAGTTTTGAGGGCGTTTCACATAGTTTATGACTATATGATAATAATAGGTTTAGGGATCTGTACTTTTAATTATAAGAAGAGTACTAAATATACATTATTGTAGGGTTAAAAAAATGTAAACTAGCACTCATTTTCTTTACACACAAATATTTTATAAAACTTCAATAACAATTATTATATTGTAATATTCGTAGGTTAGTTGAAACAGTTATATGTATACCTGTATTTAAAAGTTATAAAATACTAATTATACTAAATAGGTGCTTAGATCATTTTTAAAACACGAGTTCTAAAATAAATTTAAAATAAATAAATAGCTATCAAAATGTCCATTAAATAAAACTATTTCTTTTAAAATTTTTCATTCAGCCAGATATGTGGCAAAGCAAAAAAAGATATATAATATATTAATAGGTACTTATTTTACTATAAAAACTATTTGAACTTAAAAGCTCACAAAATACGCATTCAAACGTCACAATACTTTCGAGGACTTATACCTAATTAATTCCATTATAAAATTATTATATATTTCTGCAGGATGTGTCTAACCGGTGTATGACATAATCATCTTAAGTTGATGAAAAAACGGGTGCTTTTTTAGGAAGACTTGCTCCTTCCCATCGGCCATCTCAAGGGTACCTTTTCTGCTTGAATAAATGATAGTTTTTGGACATTTTCCGTCACTATTAGCCATTAGGTATCAGCTGTGGTAGGGTAAATATTATGATAAAAACAAGAATGCACCTCACCTGGGAGAACGTTACGGCAGCCGTCGACTTCATGTTTTCGTTATAAATCGTAAAAACTGACTGAAAATTCGTTGAAATACACTAAAACTCCTTCTACAAATAATAATAATGGAATTAAAAGATTTTACTTCCGAAAACGAAAATGTATATTATTACAGATACACCTCCCAAACGTATACAGGTGCGTTCTACTCGACGGCTAGGTAGGTACCTATTAAATTCTTAAAATATCAAATCATTATAATAATTATTTTGTTGACAAATAATAATAATAATAATAATAATGTAATATACAGTGTGTTAATTAATTGGAACATCAGTTATTTATAGTTTTCAGCGTATATATTGCGAATATTTCTGCAAAAAATTTTAATGGCCTTCTTTTCACCACGATATGTCATACATCAATAACTGTATCATCACTTTGTCATGGACCACATAACTATAAGAGAATAAGAGAACATTTGTGGTCAACGATAATCTGATTGATAGTTAGGTGCACGCTGTTCATCATATAATATTATCATTTATCATCGTGTATACAACCTGTTGTTGTCATAATAGGTTTCTTTACGGTTAGAGTCAACACTATTATGATGACCATTAAACTATACTTATTTATACTTACATACCTAGGAATACTTTGTTATACACAAGTCGCAATCAATATTTGATTTAAAAAAATGTTTATATGCATAATATATACAGGGCGATTCACCAAGTGTGCTCGGTGAGCATTGCTCATCCTCTTTTTTTCCTTTAATAATGATCAATTAATTCAAGTTCTGTATTTTTAAATGTATCATTAAATATCATATTCTCAAATTATAGAGATTTTTTTGTACTACTAATGAAGTATCCTGTTGAGATACAAACTTTTTTTTATGTTCTAAACCCATTATCGTGAACCTATTATCGTTAGTACACAAAGTGAAATAAATAAAGACTATTCGTTTGAATTTTTACTTAGATACCTACTTCAACATTTTCACAAAAGTTATTTACTAAATAATTTACAGTAAAAGAGGAGGATTCTCATTTGAAAAACAGAAGTTTTTATCACTACAAAACACACTTTAAATACTAAAAAAATATTATGAATTACTTTCTTACACTTATTATTTAAAAAACAGTACTAAAATGTGTATACATAATTTTATATATTAAAAAACAAGCTAAAATATATTTTTTATCATTTTAAATTTTTAAATTTTTATAATAGTTATTAGTAACATGCACTTTTAATTCCTTATTCCAAAGCAGAATATTTGTAAGAGTACCTTATTCTATGTATAAAATTTGAATTTTTGACCTGTTTAGTTCATGCGAGTTATAAGTATTTCAAGTTTAGTCGAGCAGAGCTGAGAGCAAAGAGAGTACCTAAAAAAATGTCTTACTACTATACTAGTATACATTTTAGATAGGTACATGTAACTATGTAAGTTGCAATAAATAAACTTTACTGCTCCAAAATTGCATTTTTATAGATAGAACATCTCCGAAACACTCTGAATAATATTCTGATAAAATGTTTATGCTACCATTCAAAATAGTAAAAACCTTAACAAATTAAAACGATAAAAAATATAATTTTTTCTAAAAATGTTTTTTCGTTAAATCGACTTGAAATTTAATATATTAAAGAAATATTTTTAAAAATGTAAGTGTTTTTTCAATTAATAATGAGTGTCTATCTTATGTTTAATGAATCACCCTGGGTATGTATGAATGGTTAAAAGTAGTTCAGGTCACCGGTCACATTTGTTTTATAATAACTGTGTGACATTGTAACTATCATCATCGTCATTTAAATTTCGTGTAGATTACAAGTCGGTAAGTTTAAAGGTTAAGTTAGGTACTACACAATATAATATATAGGTATGATGGACATTATTTCTACATCATATTTATTATTGGTATTTAAACAGTAGATATGAAGTTCGTTTATCGTTTACTCCGCTTTTTAAAGCCTGTGGGAATTTAAATAAAACAAATACTGATAATTTCAATTCGCGTTCAGAAGACATCCGCATTCCGCATAGTATGTTGCTTAAGTCTTACAAACTTATAACAATGCAAATTTGTGTTCAGCAGTTCCAATATTTTGTGTAGTAACCTTTAATCTCACAATGAATTCGCCTATTGGCTATTAAAACGAACTTAAAGGTAAGAAATAAGAACGTTTACGATATTTTTTATTTCACATAGTAATAACTTGCTTGAAAATTGAAATATCGTAAAAAAACAAACGAAAGCACAGAGAATGTTCTTACTTTTAAGTTTGATAGTAGGTAAATTCACTCTATTTTATATTAAAAGTTACTGCCCAACTTGCAGGGAACTGCTGAACACAAATTTGGTACGTCGTGTATGTTTGTAAGACGTGGGCATCCTCTTAATGACGAAAGTATTTTTAGCTATTATATGAGAACCCCCTCACCTAGAGACGCCCCGAGCAGATATATTTAGTTTTTATTATTTACCTATACCTATTGTTACAAAAACCAATATTAATATTATAATATAAAATATCCAAGGACGAAACACCGATTCGCTTCCAAAACATTCTTTGAATGTATACAAGGTGTACAGTGTACATATCATTGAATTCAAATTTAACACATCTATGAAAGCGACCCATTCGACATCTATTGTACATCAGAGTGATACCCCCTTGCACACCATTTTTATTGTTATTATTTCCGATTATTCGAGACGTACTTCAAAGTACAAACTATATCCACTTTGCTGTCAGAAAGTTCCCTAAAAGTAAGTTGAAGATCGGAGAAATTTTCCTGCTGTAAAAAGTATCTTCAGACACGAACGAAATCACACACAGAATGAACCTAACCGAGAATCTAAAAAATGAATGTTATATAATATTATATTGAAACTTTAAATGAGAATAGAATAATCATTTTTTTGAAATTATCTATGCAATACTAACTTCTTTGTGTATACCTAAATATATATGAAAGATATATAAAAGATTATATAGCCTTATATCCCTCCCCTACCACAAAAATAAAACAGGCACTTTGTCGTACACCCTTGAAAATAATGGAACAGTTTCAGAGTTTCAGGAAACGATGTCTAACTCTCTTAAACGCACAAACAATGCTCGCCAAAATGTTTGTAACCTAACATTTGTGCAGGCGTGCGTACAGGTTACCATACGATAATAATATCATATGGGGCATAATTTTTGAATTCTGACTTCCAACGTCCTTGTACAACACAATATAATATTTAAATGCCTTGATGAATTCATGTCAAAGATCAGGACAAAATATCAAAATGAGTTTTAAGTACACGGACCAAGACGCGATACTTAGGTGCAGAATGACGGGTTACAAAAAAAGAAGCAACAGCAGGTTTTTACTCTATTAGTTAATAAATATTTTCCATACCGTAAAATCGAGAAACCATATTGCCTATAACAGAATTCGGTAAATAACAATTTACAGGTTATATTGTAACTTTTAATTTAGGCTACGAGACATTTAATCCGAGTGCATATAATAATTTATTATAATATGAAAGTCACAGAGTACCCATTAAATTATATTGACATAAAAACAACAGATTTATTAATATAAAATAAAAATTATAAATACTAATGTTGAAGTATTTATTGTTATTATTACGGCTCGATTAATTTAGATTAGGATGATGAACGTCCACAAAAAATGAGTGTTTCATAAAATGATTACATATGTAGGCAACGATTAATAAAGGATTATGTAGTTGTTCGTTGTAATGGAATTGGTTTAAGTGTAGTTCTTTCCTCCTTGTCATCGTTAGTGGATGCTGAATCGTTGGAGTTCTCATCAGGATCGTTGGACCCTTCGCTTTCGTAGGATTCTTGGGAGTCAAAGGGTTTTCGATACTTGTACACATCATCAGACTGTTCATAGTCCTCGTCGAGCTGAGAGTTCTGGACCTCGTCGGACTGAGAGTTCTGAACCTCGTCGGACTGAGAGTTCTGAACCTCGTTGGATTGAGAGTTCTGGACCTCGTCGGACTGAGAGTTCTGGACCTCGTCGGACTGAGAGTTCTGGACCTCGTTAGACTGAGAGTTCTGAACCTCGTTGGACTGAGAGTTCTGGACCTCGTCGGACTGAGGGTTTTGGACCTCGTTCGACTGTTGAGAGTCCTCGATCTCGTTGGACCGAGAGTAATGGATCTGCTTGGAGTGTTCGTTCAATGGACCCGGCAATACAGGGACTGCTTCTTTTGAGTCTACAGAAACACTACTTTTTTCGCCCTCCAGTTCTTTTCTCAGCCGATTTTCCACTTCGGGGTCGTAAGACCTGCGTTGTCGGTGCATTTTCTGTGACACCATGGACTCATATACCGCCATCGTAAGTTTCTGTACCACTTCGTTTGCAGTCAACTTGGAATGGTGAGGTTTTAGTTCAACGAAATTCAGTCTGTAAAGCAAAAATGTAGTAAATATAAAAGGTAAGTAATGACTAGTTAAAAAGTTCAAATTGAGTTAGATCGGTTTTTTTAAAAAATTTTAAAATCACATAATTTTCTCACTAACTTAGAAAGTTAACTAGTTTAATTCGAATGTTGGAATGATTTGACTCTTTTAAATTGATTTTAAAATAATCCTTCTAGTTAAAATTAAAAATGATTTTCAAATTTTAGATTCTGAGCTTAGAGATGAATGTATTTACTTTACAATGATGTGTGTTTTTATATTTATTTATTCGTTTTTTTGTGTCTGTCATCAAGGGTTGGAGCAGTTAAAGTGCTTTGATTTTCTTCAACGGCAATATTTCTGGTAGGAAAGTGGATCTAGCTAATTGGTGCATTCGGGAGGTCGACATTTAAAATGTCCAATGGTTTTCAAAATCGACAGGAAAAACCAACAAAAAATTAAAGAAAAACGAGAATTTTTACGCTAAACCAGTTTTCAAAAAAGTCTACTTTAGTTTTTAGTGCAATTTTAAAAAAAATTACTGCACATACATGAAATTTTCACTGAACGATTGTGTTAGTATTTTCTATTCACCATAAAGTTCCAAAATATTTTGATTAGTGTTGAACTATTATAGGCATTTGAAATTTTCAATTATTATTTGTTTTTTTTTAAACTAATGTCGATAAAAAATCTTTCGTTCCGTCAAAAAACTTGTAAATGTAATACAAGGTTCCTTATCAGTTATTAATGAAAATTAAAAAAAAGGTTAGCTTAAATCCAAAATAATTTTTGATGAGCGTTTGAACTTAGAATTTCAACCAAATTCACGAAAATTATCAATTTTTTTGAGTAAGAAATTCATAAAAAATTTTCCTTTTATATCCAAGATTTAAATATTTAATACAAGATTCCTTATAAGTTTGTCTCCTTTTATCAAAAAAAGAATTTCTACTGAAAACTCGAATTAAAATTTTTATGACCATTTGAAGTTAAAACTTTTACAACATTGTATTTTCAGTCGATTTCTCATGTTTTGCGATTTTCTTACATTGTTATTGTAATTCAAAAACGAATTACTGTAGACACTTGAAATTTACATCATATATGTATTCCATCAATTCACATACTTGATCAATTTTTTTAAATATTTTGAATTGTTTTGCTGTTAGCGGACATTTTGAATTTTCATTTTTTTCATTTTTTTTTCAATGAATGTCAATAAATTTGTATTGGTTGGGTCAAAACTTATGAAAATTTAATACAAGACTCTTGATATATTTTTACCATAGCAGTTGAAAAATATTAAAAATACATATGCATGATTTTTGTTTATAATGATTTAAAGTTCAAATTTTGACAATATGTATCAAATTGAAAATTTAAAACTATTTTGTAGTCTAAAATGTATAAAATGTTCAATGTTTATAGCTAAAAATTAAACCTTTGAACAAGTTTCCATTTAAGCAATGTTTTCTGTAACTAAAAAATCTAAAAAACATATAAATACAGTTATTTTTTACAGATATTTTTAGTTCGAATTTGGACAAAATTGCATATTAATACAAAGAATAACGTTTATCATTTTGCTATAATTCGGTTCCAAAAACGGCCCAATTTTACATAGATATTTTTAATATTTTTCCAGCATCACCGATAGTTTAAGAATAATATTAATTCAACCTACCGGCTACTATATTAATAATAAATAAAAACAATATAAAATATCCTAGACTGATACATACAGTCTTCGCTCAGAATCGTTTTTCGTATACAATGATATGATATCATAACGTATTTATCTATATTAATAGAGATTATTGGATGGCAGTGTCTTACCAGGTAAAGTTTGTCTCAACCAAATAACAACTAATTGGTCAATTGGAGTTATAACGCAATTGAGTTTATTTCGATTTTTGAGTATACTGTTGACTGTTGATTTATTGTGAATTGTTTTTTATCGGCCGCTTACGGGTTCGGTACTTTTTGTGTTATTGTTAGTTACGTTAAGATGTGGAAGTGTTAAAAATTCCAAAAGTTTAGTCATGGTGTTTAATCTCGCTTTCGCGCCTTGTGTCTATCAACAAAATTTGGGTCATGTTATTTGGCCATTATTTCGTTGGAAACGCATTTTATAGGTCATTTATTCTGATTATTTTTTAAGGAACTTTTTGATTATTTTTAGTACATATAAATCTGGGCCCTAGATGTTAAGGCTATATATTATGGAATTATTACGCATATACCTATACTGCATCAGTAGTGTAGCACTACTTCTGAACATAATCATATTCACATAAACTGACCGCAGTATATAGTATATACCTCCATCACGAAGGTGGTCTCCCTGAAATTATTATATTATTATAAAATAATTATTAGTACTTACTCGTATATGATTGCTATTGAATACATATTATATTAGGTACCTACTATAACAATTAGTAGAAATATTTTTTTACAAATATATTTATCAAAACCAAAAATCTTTTACACGAGTAACGTGGGGTGGTTCAGCTAGTGTACATTTTATTTATTATACTTTTTTTTTATTCTTCAATAAGATAATGGGCCTACTGAACATGTTTGTGGATTTGTGTACCTACCTATATAAATATATAATACATTTAAATCAATGATCCGTTTTTTGATTGTCCTCTATAGATTCAAAAACTAGTGGAAAATCATAAAGTTAATCATTTTATTTGTGTTTGTACTATTGTATAGCTCAACTAACGAAAAACGGAAAATACAAAATTAGTTATAATCAGAGCGAAATTGGTACAGCTAGTAACAAATAAATAAAATAATCATGGACGGATTCCATATGATTTTTTAATGAAAATTATCATATTATATAATATTATATCGTAATCAGTCTTGCCATTATTATTGAAGAAGTTGTAATCAAAAATCTGAGTCACAAAACCGTGAAAATATTTTGTGATTTTATTTAACAGATTGTCATCATAGTTTTTAAAATTAATAACTGCGAAATTATAATATGATGTACATCATCATAAATGCTATCGAAATTGTATTGCAACAACCTTCATTCGTTTTAATAATTGTTTTACAGATAAGCCTCAGCATCTGAATCATAGGCTAACAATTTTTCCATACTTATAATTCAACATTTTTTGGCACTGGTAAACTCTCCCGATTTTTAAAACAATTAACAAGTATACTCTCTCGATGGTAAACTCTCCAGGGTCAATATTATGTTTACCTGAAGTAAATGTGTAAACTCTCTTGAGTTGTTCAAATGTTATTGATACACTATGAATCGGCTATAGTGCAGGAATTGTGATTATCATTTTAAATATTTATTATAAATTGTATTGACGTTATGCTATATTTGTAATTTAAATATTTATACATTTTACTATCGTCAACCTATTTTTAATTTTCAAAAAGATTTAAAACGATATAAACTTTAATGGTTCATCCAAGTTTTCTAACCTTACCAACTGCATAATACGAATAATGCCCCATGCTCCCCTAGCTTAATAGTACTAAAGTATTGTAGACTCGTTAGAGTTTACATAGTTTCGTCAGGTAGTACTGGTTTGGATCAGGGAAAGTTTACATGTTATCGTCAGGAAGTACTGAAGTAGGCCCGGGAGAGATTACATTTTCCCGTCAGGTAGTATTGTAGTAAGCCGGGGAGAGTTTACAATCGAGAGAGTTTACATGCCATTAAAATCGGGAGAGTTTACAATCGATCTTTTTTTTATATAAGAAACACAACAATACAGTAGTATATTAACAATATATTAATGACAATAATGTCGGTTAGGTTAGGTAACCATTATAAATTTAACTATAAATGAAACAAACCGTTTGGGGAGAGTATTATCTTGCAATCTAACTTGGATACCTGTACCATTGTACCTAGGTATAATCTATGCACTCATTCTCATATTGTGATTACTGGGCACTTCAAAGATTTAAGTTTAAATGTTTAACTAAATTAAATTTATCTAACTATGAATTTTTGGTATTAAGAACACTAATGAACACCTTACAAAGTATAACTAATAATTATTTTACATAACACTGCTGAAATAAGTTTATTTTAAAATAATTCGCTGTTACATAAAAGTTATTTTAATTATAACGATTAAAAATAATATCTGTGCTTATTACCAAAAAAAAAAACTATAATTATATAATTACCTATAATATTTGATTATATTATGGTAATAACATTTTTTTTAAACAAATTTTGTGATTATTATACAAAAGTACTATGATGCATATTATTAAGAGATAAGACTGTATTATCTACACATTCGTTTCCACCAGAAAAACTACTATCGCTCCAGCCAATGTGAAAAATGTTTGATTTTCGATATCTCCACCAAATCTGGGCTTAAATAATTACTGTTTTCAAAAATGCTGTATTGTTAAAATTGTTATATTTATACATTATACTTCGTTATGGCAGTTGACGTGTGTTGATCTGTTTTGAATAAATATTTTTAGATATTTAATTTAATAAACATTTTTAAAAATGTATTAATATTAGGAGATGATTTTTAGAAATGTTAGTTGAAATGTGCATGGAATGATTCGAAAATATTTGTTGTTCTGCATAAACTATCACTTAAATTGGACCACATTGTTTGCGAAAATATGTACTATACTCGGAAATATAATGTTCCAATGAATGAGAACCAATAAACAATAACAACATAAAACCAAAATTATGACTAATGGATCTCAAATTATAATTTATGTAAGAAAAATGTTTGGGCGGAAACAATGCACTCCCACTCTGAACGATATGCTCACCAATATGCTCAAGTGCGACCACTCGAACTTTATGAAAAGTCGTGCATCGTGTTATAATAAAAATGAAATGTCATGCAATCTACTAATAAAATGTTTTAACCTAAAAATAACAGATTATTGCTTGTCCAAAACTCATCAAAGTGTCTCGTGGCCAGACTTCCCTGCGTATATAATTATAAGACTTTAGACTATATTGGAGATACAATAAAATGGGCGTACTGAAATCTGTATGACTTATGAGTTATATAATTTTATTCGTGTACTCGCTTAAGTATTGTACACCTTTATTATGCGTATTAAGATTATGCATATATAGAGTCTAAACAGGTAGGTTCAGTGGCGAGCAAAGGTTCTACATTGCAATTATTGCGGGACCGTCAGTCACTCTGCCTCTTCAGAAAATAGTAAAGGGGGATTAGTCACGAAGAAATTAATTAAAAATATCGCTGCTTACCTAAAATTGGATTAGGTACTTTTTAAATTAATTTTAGTGCCTGGGTGGGAAGGTGATTATGGTTTTGATTAAATAGTTGGGTTCCATTGCAGGGTAATAATAGTTAATTTAACTCCCCTTATACTCGGCCCTCTACAAGTTATTTTGTACTAAGTTGAAAAAAGTCAATGAAAAAATAAAATAACTTCACTCACCCGACGACATTTTTATCTTTGATACCCGGTTTCTGTACGATCGGATTCTCGGAGGTACCCGAAACCAATTTCAGTGCTGGAGCAGCTCTTGTCACTGGTGACGACGCCAGGCATACGATCGCCACGCATGATGCAAAGATCTATAAAAAACGATAGATACAACATACATAGCAGCATAGGTATAATTACTAAAATATCCAAACGCAAAGGTATACATCTAGATTATAGAGATGTGTAGATTTTGGACGCAAGGGTATGTCGAGATGTGCTCCACTAAAGCATAAATGCCCCCCAATCTAATGCGCATGCAGTATTGTCTTCAAAATATTTATGATAATCATTTTTATTATCACTGATTCTTACTTAACTACAAAACAATGTTTTTTCTATGTTAAAAAATAAGTACACTTTATACAGACGTGTTAATTGAAAAGCACATAATAATTTCATAATCATACTCGTCACAAAGTATTAAGCTGTGAACATAGATTATACGTACAAAATATGTTGTTACTTTTTTTTTCTAAAATGTGTAATTTTTGGAACTTTGTTCATATTATGCCCTTTAAACCAATGGTCTAACCCCCAACTTACAGAGGATTTTAGCACACATCCTACGTACCCCATGCGCACGCTTTTGAACTAGGCGCCTGGGTACCTATATCAGATCATAGGAATGCACTCACTTTGAACGCAGTCGTTTTCATTTTGAAATCCGTAAATTCAGCGATGGCAGTAATCTCTGCAGCAGTCGATTACAATAGTGTAAAAAACCAACAATGCTATAAAAAATACTGTTCGGACGAATCACAGTCGCCGTCTGATGCGTTCGGAATTCAGATTGTATGTCCGCCACATAATATTATGCTCGTGAGCATCGATCGCGTTAAATTAATAGGTAATAATTAAAATAATAATAGTGCAATTTACAATTATTTTTACTCAACGTTATTATATCTGTATTGTATACTCTGTAATTAGGTGATTATTATAATTGCAGTTGATTGGAATGATTCTGAGAAACTTGAGACATCACGTACGTTACACATAATATATTATACACATATTATTATTGTAGTCTTTGTGACTTGTGACATTTTCAATATAATTTTAATTTCTTTATTAAATAAGCAGTGTCAATTCATTGAGGAATACTAACCTTTTACAATGTGTCCGTGATTACTCAGCTACATATAACACACTGTCAATAAGACGGACGATATATTATTATTACATGGCTTATTATAAACCGAATAGTATGATTTAAATTCTTTGTTTCCTAACGTTGGGTCAGAGCCACGATCGAATATATTATATTTTTTAACCGTTTTGTATTAAACAATGGCCACATTAACCTTTCGTATATTATCTGATTAGATCTCCAGTTTTAGGCCACTCTTCACATCATGGCAGATATTTTTTCACTCTCTAATGTCCCATCTCTCAGTTCTCATTCCCCAAAAAACTCAACAAAATCTAGAACTATGTCCCGATGCCAGTGGTGGATGGGAGAGTGGGGGCGCTGAGGGCATTTAAGATAATTGTATTAATTTTTAGTGCATATATTAGTACATTGTATGAGTCACTGTGTACATTTGGAAATTAAAATATTATATCAAGAAATATTGTTTTCATAATTGCTTTAGTAATTATATTGAGTATTTTTCATCCCTACAAAATATCAATCGTTCCATATATGGAAGCGATAACGCCATTGTCTATCTTCATCGATGTTATAATCATGAGGAATATTAGTAAATGATCAGTTGAAGATACATCGCGATAGTATTTATTTCTAGTACACCTAATTCTGTTTATTTATTGTGATAACTTAAGTTAGCCCAAACCCATTTTAAGGATAATTGTTCTTCATATTAATATTTTAATAACTGAGAAACTGATAAACAGTAAAATAATTTATATTGTACATTTTCAACACATTATTTCAACACTCCTTAGTCCTTTTAATCTATAACATTTATAAAAGTCAAATACTACTTACTTGTCGCAATATTTCTCAAAAATGACAAAACGAATGAACTTTAAGTTTGAAATAAAAACTGTCCTTACATATTTTTTTAGAATAGTGATTCCGCTAATGTTCTAATCGTGCATTACGTAAAGATTGAAAAAAATTCACATTTTAAGGATATTTAAGAATATTTAATAATAATAATAAGTATATATACTAATATATATGTTTATACTCGTACGTCCATTGATACGTTGATTGATATTTGAATATTTAATATGTCATAAAAGTTAATGTGAATCAAACATTTTAACGAAAACACTGTATCAATACATGACTGCTTTGCTTTGAACCTTAAAAATTATAGTGTGTATATATGTGAATTTATGCATGAACTCAATGTTTTTGAAACTTTGACTGATGCCCGGATAACCAAATGACGAATTTGGCATAATCACGATGTATTTATTATAAGATTCAAACGCCATAGGCACCTATACGTCATACAAAATAAATAACAAAAGACTAAATATTATATTTATGATTTATCATTATCACTGTTGTAATTTGTACTGTTATCGCTACATGGTGTAGTAATTAATAAAAGAACGACGATAATTATTTTATGCTGTACTTAAATGATTTTTATGTTTCTTTTTCTTTCCTTCAAAATTTATGAAGTAAAAACAGTGTTCTAATTTCTGACTTCAAACACCTAAGACTAACCACAGGCTCATACAAAAATTACTCCCGGGGATCAATCAACGTCTTCACCACTTACTTCAGCCACTGTGTTTTTATAGATAGCTAATGTTGGTAAACCTTACATTATAACTTATAACATTAAAAAAAGTTGTTTAAGTGGGTGCCCCTCTACTGTGCAGTACCTAGGTGTAGGTCTCTCTAAAGAGTCACTTTAATGTTCGATGGCCAATGGTCAATTAAATACTTAAATTAAAATTCAATGATATAAAATTAATGTATACGAAATAGTAAAAACGAGTTCGAGTGAAAACGGTCGATCAACTTGTATTACTAAGTATATCTTATGATATAATTGATATTAATTTATTTTACTATTAAGAATTAGACTAAGTAATAATACAGTAAGCTGAATTAATTTTTTCTAAAAAAATGTAATTTGAAAAGGTCATTGCGTGTATAAATTGTGTTAATATACTTAAGTATAAAAGTCTCAAGTTATAATAATATGAATTGCATGGTTATGCATAATACGTATTATATTTTAATCTTTTTTTTTATAACAATAGACAATTGTCGATCCCTATAGTGCCTTTACAGACTTATAAGTAGATATCGGTACATTTTATATGAACTATAATAATCTTTATATTATTAGATATGAATAATTATATAATTTATAATATTAACTTACAAATCAGCAGCCGACAACATCATATTATTATGTATAATTATGAATAATTTATGACAAACTTGTAAATCTCTTTTTCAATTACAATGAACTGTTTAAACATTTAAACGTGTTAGAACTCGAAATAATATTTTTGCGTATTAATTGGTTTTGTGTGTGCTTGGTATATTATTGCATGCGTCCAATCTGATGTGTTGACTCATAACTATATCAAATAATAGTAAAACAAAAAGTAAAATAAAATAATATTGTTATTGTAGGTATGTTAATTTGTATGGACGTCTATACAAAAAATTAATACAATTAATTATGTTCCATGTTATCAATCATCAAAACTGAAATTATGTACAACTTGTTACAATTCCTAGACAATATTTATTTGTAGACACTTTTTTTAAAAATATTTTACATTGCCGAAATTTATTTAAAAAAATAAATAGTACAACTTTGAACTTTGAAGCAGACTGATACAAGGTGATTTACCAAGCATGCTTATATCATTTTTACCTTCAATAATGCTGAAATTATTCAAAATCTGATTTAAGTATTTAAGTATTCCAAAAATCAGAATTTGGACAAAGTCAAAGTTAATGGAAAAATCAGGGTGAGCATGTTTGGAAATTGACCTGCTTAATTAATAATTAATAACAACTTTCCAATACCATGCAGAGAATAAAACAATTTTTTTTAAATATTTACCTTTAGAATAACAAACTTTTTGTGCACCTAAATAATTGTTATATCTATTAATTTATAAGAACAATGACTTGAAACGTGGATACTGTTAATTGTAAATAATGGATTTGATATTAACTATATAGACATATAGTAGCTAGGTAATTATAGTGTTCATAACTGTGGATAATCGTAGATACCTACTGCAAATAACGGATTTGATATTAACCATATCTGAAAGAGTTTTGGAGGCTCTCCTGCCTCTCCTCGTCGTATTTCCTTCGGGCGTGGTCGAAAACGAACCGTTTTTTTTTAAAATTCATTGAAGGCTCAACGTTTGATCTTTGATGTATCGGTTAAACGAACAAAACTAATATCCTTGCAACTCGGTAGACAAAAAGACACAAAGTTGTCTAAACGCAATTATAAAAAGTATAAAGTATAGTTAATAATAGTAATAATTCACATGTAAGTAACAAACATAGATGTCTTAAGACATAAATGTAAAATAATTCTGAAAAGTATAAATAACTATGTAATTCTGTTTCAAATGTAATCAAATTGGTAAAATACGTTAAGCCAAAAATAAAATAAAAAAACTGTTGAAATTTGGTTTTAAGACCAAGTAACACCCAAAAACGTTTATCTTTGTTTAAGACATCGACGTGAACGGATTAAAACTATTTCCTTTTCAAAGTTAAAAAATACACCCATTCCGGCTACAACAAATAACATTATGGAAATATGATAAATTTATGTAACACGGCATAATGTATAGACAATTTAAATACGTAGCTGTGTCGAAGATCGTTTCAAAAAATTATTGCATAATATTATAACATACATATTATGTAGATTGAATGCACCTCAAGGAGCACCACATTGGAAGTGTACGTATGCACGCGTTTACTTCGACCATGTTGTTATTATTTAATTTGACATTTTTTTGAACTCTCATAAGTGGAATATTAGGATACAATATGTAAGACTCGTGCTCTCAAGAGATATTACAGTGTCTAATTTACTATTCATATTCATAATATTATGTTCATTACATGATTTTTTCAATAATGTAAAATCTGTCCATATCTTTAAAATGTTTCAAAAGTTTATACCTATGTGGAGGTATAAATAAAGAATCTTATTTTTTGAAAGTTTGGTTGGGTTACATAGTTTTAATACTCACTAGAAATTGTCGTAGATGTAATAGATTATTTAATTGATTTTAAAAAAGTCAACAGTAATTATCGTATTAATAGATATCTCGCATTGAATTCGGCCATTTTCATTTTTGAAGTAAAATAGTATTTTAACTTAGTCGAATATTGTTATACTGAATTATAAAAGCACATTGCAAAGGACACGTGTGCAAGACAAATGCTTGAGATATAATAAGTAATAATTATGAATGCATATTAAGCTTATAAATTGAATAGGTACCCAATACTCCAAACAATAAAATTAAATAAGTTCCTTTAAGGAAGAGGGGGGAAGTAAACGAATAGTAGTCATTTAACTTTGTGTATTAAGGATAATTAGTTCCACGACAATGCGTTTCGAAGATATAGAGGCTATGCCGCTATGGTGATATGAAAAATGTAGTAAACTAATCAATAACCGTTAATATATGTATTAAGTACTTAATATTAATTTATATACCTACTTGTATCTATGTACTTAGTTAAAATATTAAATTTAATTTTAAAAAAACATTAATCTAACAAAATTAATAATTTGTAAAAATGGTTGAAATTCAATAAATACTAGAACCAATTTTGAGTACATCTATTTTATATTTTTGAACGACCATTATTAAGGACAATTTACCTATGTA